GTGGATCTTTCGGTACTTAAAGGGTACTGTGGGACATGGAATTGTTTTTGGGAGTCAGCGGGATAATCCTTTGGTTGTAGGATATGTGGATTCAGACTATGCAGGTGACTTGGATAATAGAAGATCTACGACAGGGTATGTCTTTACTCTTGGTGGAGGGCCTATTTGTTGGAAGTCTACTGTTCAATCTGTTGTGGCTCTATCTACAACTGAAGCTGAGTACATGGCAGCGGCTGAACCTGCAAAAGAAGATTTATGGCTTACTGGTTTAGTGAAGGAGTTGGGTGTTTAACAAGGTGGAGTTCAGTTGTTTTGTGATAATCAAAGTGCTATTCACTTGGCTAAGAATCAGGTGTATCGTGCTAGAACTAAACATATTGATGTAAGGTTCCACAAGATCAGAGAGTTGGTTGCATCTGGAGAGGTTTTGTTTCAGAAGGTACATACTGATGAGAATGCCGTTGATATGTTCACCAAGCCAGTTACGACAGACAAGTTCAAGCATTGCTTGGACTTGTTGAATGTTTTGAGTTGTTAAAGAAGCAAGGTAACCCAACCCACATTGAAGTTTCCAAGGGGCAGGATATTCGCCAAGGTGGAGATTTGATAGGTATGGCTCATAAATATACCAGTAAAGAGGACAGGAGATAGAGCGGAGTGAGCGAAGCGAACATCAATTGTCCTTACAAAGAAAGTCTCGTTGTGGGGTTACGAATTATGTGGGTTGGGGGTGCGGGGACGCAGCCCCGCAGTACGGTACATGGTTGATTTTGTAATTATGTACCACGGTTTTCTATTATAAATAGAGATGTAACCTAGACCTAAAATATCATTGAATAAAACTTCTAGCGCCGCCTAGGCACCGAGGACGTAAGCACATTGCCGAACCTCATAAAATTCTCGTGTTCTTTTGTTTTATTTACCCGTTTTCGTCAACAATAATCATATTCAAGTTTGATACTTCAGTAACATAAGCTGCTACTTCCACCACTTATTTTGTGTTTTGAATTTCCCATGTTATATATACATATATATATGATTGTTCAATCTATCTGTGTTTAATGGTTTCTCTTAGGGTTTTGAATTTAAACTCCTATTAGCCTTATTGGAGAACAGGAAAGAGTTACATAAGATTTTATGCTAAGGAGGTGAACTTATAATATTTTAAAGGGACGGAAACAATTTTTTAATAGAAAATACAAAAAATATCTAAAATATAGGTAATATAATTATCCTAGGCCGGTCGGATCAAAGATTTTTCATCCTAAACCTGATCAGATTCAAACATTTTTTCTTTATATTCAATCCTATAGAATCAGATTAGATCGAAACTCGTCAAATTTAGATAATTTGACCATCACTTATCACATTGGATATTTTATTTTGTGAAAGCGCAAACACTATATTAGACATCTTAAAAGTTAAGGTATTGCATAAGACCTTTTTCATAATATAAATACTACATTATACATTTTAAAAAATATAGGTAATATATTCTCCATAAAGAAATGTAAATGTCACATTCAACATTTGTCAAAATACATTGATAAAATATGACATGATCACATAGTTAATATTTCAAATTGAAGTTCTTTTAGTCAAATTCAAAGAAGTCATTAATTTTTACCGAGTTCGATTCAAAGAAAAATTCATTGAGTTGATCTCATCTATTTATGCGAAGACAAATCAAATACAAAGCCCTGGTCTTGGTGGATTGGTTGGGAATTCTTAACATTGTGAGATACGTTCATTGGAATAACTTCAAACACTCACCCTTAACCAAAACCATTGATAAACCTGTTATTATTCAAGTATAAACAAGGTAAGGCCAATGAGAACAAAACCATTAATGGTACGTCTTTAGATAGTTAATGAGAAAACATGTATGCATTTTTATGGAGAATAAGAAGAGCAATACATAATAGTAGCATTACAAACTTGGAAAGGGAACATTAAAGGTGTTCTGAAAGCAAAACCATGTATGTCCCTTTCCTGCTGGACCTGCTCTATCTACACTGCAGAAACAAAAAGAGTTGAATGGATTGCAACTATTTGAAAGTTGTGAAGATAAATTAGCATCCTCCCTTGTCCCCATTGATGCATCATCTAGATTTCCGCTACTTTCGACTTGCTCCAATCCTCAATGGGACTTCATCGGCAGGTTTTGGTTGAAGTTCATCTCCTACCCCATCCTCCAGCAGCACGACCTTCATTGCTGTTTTCTTTAGCTTCATTGCTGTGTACACCATTTGTTCCCATCAGATGATCTTCACTCCCTGCTTCGTTAGTTAAAAGCATTCATTGCCTTTATTTATTCCACCCACCAGATTGATTCCAATGGGAGGATTGGCCTCCCTGATCAGGAGAAACAAATATACTAGTTAGTAATGAGGGTTTGGAAAATTTGAAGAAAAAAAAGTGTGAAAAAGAGTAAAATGGCCCGTGCAGGTTTCGAACCTGCGACCTTCGCGTTATTAGCACGACGCTCTAACCAACTGAGCTAATAGGCCATTAGCTTTCTTTTGAGAAATATTATATATTTCCTAAATATAAAAAAGGGTTATTTGAAGTTGCAAAAAGTAGTAACGCTAGAAGGAGGGCTTGAACCTCCGACCTTGTGGTTAACAGCCACACGCTCTAACCAACTGAGCTATTCCAGCTTCTTGATCCACCATTCACACAAATGTTATTTAGTTCTTTATTAGATTAAACATATGTGGAAGGATGGAAGAATCTTTGGAACAAGTGGTTCTATTATGATAATTCAGAATAATTAATATTAAATAAATAAATTTTAAAATAAAAATAAATTAATAATATGTGCTTCTTAATATATTTATTTTCACTATTAAGCATCATAATTTTATATTTTGATTAAATAAATTAAATAAAGTAATGTAATATTCTCTGTGAATTCATTATATAATCGTATTTATAGAATTAATCTTATATTTATGAATCAAATGTACACGAAAAATGTGATTTATACATCTAAAATTAACATCACACTTTTAATAAAAATAAAAATAAATTCAATCATCCAAACGAAATTGAGTGTCTATAACATACTTGGATTGAATTAAAAGAGGAATTAGAAATTCCTAAATTTTAAAATAAAACAACGCTAGAAGGAGGGCTTGAACATCAACCTTGTGGTTAACAGTTCCTGCTCTAGTTATTTTATTAAATTATAATTCAGTGATAGCAGGCTTGTATAACTACATCTTTTAATTATATATCATAAGCTACAGTAATTAACAATATTATAGGCATTTTTATATTCAATTTTAGTAAATGTTAAACTGATCATTAAAAAATCATATTTATAATAGTATAACTTGTGATAGTTCAAATATTATATTTAGAGATGGTTATACGTGAAGTTAGATTGGGTTGAATTTTCCGTCAACTTGGCTTCGATTTGAGTAGTATATCCCTTCACTCGACTTGATCCAAATTTAGAAAGGCTTCATCTGTCCTAAACTTGACCCGACACAAATTAAAAATTATTTTATTATATTTATTCAGTAAAAAATGGAGAAAAGTGAAGAAAAGGAAATAAAGAAGGGTATTATAGTAATTATATCTAAATATATAGAGATGTTTATAGTAATATCTCAAGTTGGGTCAAGTCCAAGAATTTTCACTCTAAACCCGACCAGACTCTTACATACGTAATGCTCAAACTAGAGATCTCAAAGATAACAACAATCTCTTAATCACTAAGGTCGCTTGGTTCGTGCTGAATTTTGAGTATAAACGCCTAATAATTCATTTTATTTTTCTTAAATAGTCTAATATTTCAGTCTCTATCAATATTTAATCATGTCTATGACCTACTCGGAGTAATGCAGCAAAAAATGAGATAAGTACAAATCTTAATAAGATAATTACCTGCAGAGCACGCACATAGAGATTTACTTTCTCACAAAGTTGTGCAATTCGAGGCGATCATAGTGACTGAACATTCCATTTGCTAAAATGCCATCAGCAACTTTAGGAAAAGTCACTATGATCAGCTAAACCCTACATGGAAAAGAATGGTATTGAACTACATATATTATTATTATTTTTTAAAATGGAAAAATAGAGGGACGGAGATTACCTGAACCAACATATCAAAGAAGTAACCTTTATCTGTAGAAAAGCACGCTCTGGCAGATTTGGCTTCAAAACATGTAAAAAAAAATGCAGTAGCCTCTCGTGTCAAATTCCACTGAGAAAAAGCATATACCCAAAGAAAACAATTTCATTTGTTTTGTATAGAAAAGTAAGGTTATTTTCACAAGCAAAATGATAAACATCGGACCTGAAGAAAAAGGTCAGTAATAGTGTTGTAAACAACTGGACAACCTTCATTTGAGACACCATCAATGCAAAATTAACAGTTCCCTGCAAGTAAAACAAGTGATAACCCCTTTGTCCATGAAAATTAGAGATTAAATTCCATAGAAAAGATCATAACAATAGATATTGATTGCCGAACAATAAAAAGGACTTTAATGAAGAGAATTAATACGACTCAACATATTTATCAATTATTCATATGACACGCTTCAAACCCTTCAAATATTAGTGACTATTTGTACATTTTACTCTTTTTTATTTTATATATTTATTGTGTCACGTCAGTAATCCGTTAAAAGTTTAAAGATAGTTATTCTTCAATAACCACGTCTTAATTAAATAAAAACCAAAACGATTAAATATTATATTTTTTGAATTTGGTGAATATATATATATATATACAAAACTTAAACGAAAGTGATTAATTTTATAATTTAACCAAATTTATTTCCATGGAACAATTAAAAGTGAAAATTTTGGACCTTATCCAATTCAATGATACTGTCTCCCATATTAAAATAAAAAAAAGGAATTATAAAGGAATCCAATCCTTGTCAAAATCAATGACAAAGTCTCCTTATTTTTCATGTACATATTCTCATTTATTACGAATCATACAATAGTGAAACAACCCTACCCGGTCTAGGCCCCCTGTCGGTGGATGCCGTTACCAGAAGACTTCATCTCCGTCTTTCAAATTCAGTCTCCAGTCACCGCCATTTCCTTATCCGCTGCCTTCACGTCGTCCCGGAACTTCTTGTAAATGTCACTCTTATAAAATTTCCTAGTCCTGAGTGACAAAAGAAATGACACAATCGTGCCAAACAAGGTAGTAGCTGTTATTATAATGAAAGACAATTTGAAACACTCAACCCCTTTGCAATCCAGATCTTCACCGGCTCTCCTCACAATACCTAAAGCTGCCATTTGCTTCTTAGCCTCTCTATCGTACAAGTTTCCGGCCACTTTCACGTTGAGTATGTAGGCGCCGATGGGGCTCGCAACCGACCCTAAATTGTACAGCGTCGAATAGTATTTGAGTCCAAAGAGTTCAGAGATAATGGCGAAAAGTAAAGGCCATTGTGCCCCAAAGCAGAAACCAATGATGACCGATGCAACATAGAGGCCACCGGGGACATCGAAGGCAATCAAAAGGTGGCCGACACATGCGAAGAGCATAATCAAGGTGAGCATTAGAGGCCTGGGGAACTTGTATTTGGTCAAGAAGATTTCTGAGACAAAACCTGATGCAACTCTGCCAAGGTAATTCCATATGCTCACGAGGGAAACGAATGTGCTTATGCTTCTTTTAGGGTACCCCAAGGAGCTTCCAATTTGCCCGAGATTGTCGATCGCAGTTAAAGTGCCACCGACCCCACAAGTCGTGGCTAAGAAAAGGATTAACATGTCTAGGCTGAAAAGTGCCTGCAAAATTGTGTAGTCTTCTCCTCTGTTTGGTGCCTTGAATGCCGTTTTCCAGCATGAAACATCGGTTTGATCGCTACTTCTTGAATTGTTTGAGGCCAACATAGCTGCGGTGCTCGACTCTGAGGGAGTTTCGGGGATATTGTCCTTGGACTCTTCGGAATGCGGCTTCTCCGTGACGATTTTCAATGCAGAATTGGGATAATTTAAGGCCTTAATTCTGGCATCCCAAAGCTTGTATTCTTCAGTAATCACAACACCAAGTGGTAAAAACAGCAAGAAAAGAACAATGGCAGCACTGCCACCATATTTAGGTTGAGTGAACAAAAATCTCTTCTCCACAATGATAATAACAATCAAGAAAGAAGCAAGAGCAAGGGAGATATAAAGAAATTTATAGAAAACTTTAAGCTCATTCGCCTGGCGAGCCACTTTCATGACCCGAATCGTTCTCACAAAACAAAGCGATATAGCAGCCGGAAGCCAACCGATAAATAGGATCAAGGCCTTCGTATTATCACCGTACAAAGCATGGTACAACTGAGTTATGATCGCACCACTCAAGCCAACATAACCCTTGAGAAGCCCCAGCACGACGCCTCGGCTCTCTGGGAAATTCTTGACGCAGACGACGATAGAGCCGGTGTTGGCGAAAGATTGTGAATTGGCACCGATACATATGTACAAACACATATGCCACACTTGTGGTGTGGCGATCCTTTTGGTGACGGCCAACCAAATCATGAAGTACCCGAAGAAGTTGAGGACCGCACCGACTGATAGCACGAACCACGGCGGTGTGACCTCAGCTATGAGCCCCGATAGGACCCCGACGTTGTTGCCCAAGTCCTTGAAGAAACTGAGCAAATTGAGAGTGGTTTGGTCATAGCCAAGCGATTCTTTAATGTCGCCAGAGTATAAGCCAAACATGTAGGCTGCACCAGCAGCTGACATGATCAAAAGTGAGCCAAAAACCATGAGCCATGGTCCTGTTAGGATCTGAGCGGCTAAGCTCTTTGAGGTTGGCTCAGTGGCACCACCGTAACCTGACCCTGCCATCATTTTTTTTTGGTTTAAATTGTATTGTTTTCGATGAAGATTGATGGTTTAGAGCTTGTTTTTTAACATAGTGCTTAATAAGTCACTATATATAGGAAAAAGAAAAGGAAAATACATGTGCATGGAAACCAAGGATGAGGGTAAAATAGTCTTTGGAGTTTGTTCCAATTTTTTTTAATCATAAGTGTAATATCTCGTTTTGGTCCTACCTGTCTTTTTCAATTCGTTTTATTTCCTTCCTTTACCTTTATTTTGAATTTTTCTTAATCATGTTCTGTTTGTAATTCGAATGCTTCGGTTTATAAAAACCAGGCCACCTGCAAAATCAAGGAGAGGGTTTTTTGTTTTTCATAGGCGAGAGGAGAAGAGCAGCCATCACAACCAATTGTATTTTCGAAATGAAAATAACGAAAAGAGGTTCTCCCCTTTCTTTTCATTTGTTTCTTTGCATGCATGGTTTTTCTATTAACGGAGATGAATAACCTACAAAAAGAAAGTAAAGAGAAACCTACAAAAGAAAAGGAAAGGAGAATGGTGTACCTCTCGTCCTCCAACGAAAGGAGTGTGGATATCAGAGGATAACATATATGCAAATCGAGACGATCCAACGAGGTGGATGAGACAAGTGAAATCCAAAAGGTTTTCGACTATTAGTTACATACGATGACGAGATGCCGGGCGGCTAGTGACTATAGAACTCTAGAGAGAAGGGAGATATTATCTCTCTAAGACACGTTAGAGAGAGAAGAAAATGACTAAAGGGGTAGGGCTGTAAATGAGATGAGACAGATTGCGAGTTACTCAAGATCGACTCGGTCAAGGCTCGATAAATACTCGGATTGAATGAACTCCACTCGAGCTCGAACTCGACTCGAATTCTTAACGAGCCGAAACAAGCTACTTAATACTCGACTCGAAAAGCTCGTGAGCAGCTCGAAAATATAATATATTAAAATTTTATTTTTTTTAAAATAAATTATTAATAATATTAATATTTATGTGTTGATTTTTTTAAAATACAGTAAGATTTTTATGTATTTAAGATTCATGTTCGAGTTTGAGTTTGAGGCTTCAATCTAGTTAAGCTTAAGACTTTTTTTTCATTTCGAGCCTTTTCGAGCTGCTCACGAGCTTCAGTTCAGGATTTCGAGTTCAAGTCGAGCTTAAAAATTTTAAGCTCGCGAGTTTTCGAATCGAGTCAAACTTCATTTCAGAATTTTCGAATCAAGTCGAGTTCAGTAATACTCGAGCTCGACTCGACTCGTTTATACCCCTAAAAGGGATATATAAAACCTTCCAAAACGACGTCGTTTTGGCAATAGATCCGACCCACTCTAGACCATGAATATGTTGGGGAAACTATGGTCTTGGCCTTCTAATTTACGTTTTATTCCCGTTTGGTCATTTTTGTAATTTTATTTCTTTATTTCAGTTATTTGACTTTCTTTTGTTCTATTTTGGTCCTTTGCATTTGCTTTGTTATTTATTTTAATTTTTTAAGGTCTTTAATTTATAATACATTTCAATTAACTCAATTTTCTTTTGTTTGCTCGTTTTCAAATTTCTTTTAATTAAGATCCTTGGTTTTTTATTTATTCTAATTTAGTCTGTTTAGAATTTAATTTATTTAGTCTTATTTTTACTATTTATTTATTCCACCTCCAATTAGTACATTACTTCAGTTTTGGTATTTATTTCTTCTTTTAATCTTTTAGGACTTTTAAGACAGGTGAGTCAATTCTTTCATTTATTTATTTTATATCATATTATCATGTATATTTTTTATGAATGTTATTTTATATATTACTAATGAATTTTATTTCTTTTTCAAGGTGTAAGCAAAATTTATGTTTATTTAAGGGATCACTAATTAAATTAATTCATGAATTCATGGTTTTCTATTTTTAAGACAACATTTTAATCGACTAGGTACCAAAAAAGTATTGTGCGAGTGCTAATCATTCCTCATACGTAATCAACTCTCGATCCATTTTCGTTAGTAAGTAGACTGAATTTGTTGTTTCAATTTATTTAAAATGGTAAACTTTTAGGGTACTTCAATCACACCCTAATAAGGATCGATGGTGACTCTCTTGAACCACAATATAGTATGCATTCGAAGTATGCCTTTAAAAGAGGATTCACCTTTCATTTTCATATAATTGAGCTAGGTTCTACTCTTACCTATCTAATAGGGAGCACGAAGCTATGTCTTGTGAGGTTTTCACCTTCTTACAGGATAAGGGATCATTTCCGAGGCACACATATTATGCCTTTGTGTATGTTTTCACCACCATATGAACATAGGAGATGTGTATCACACCCTAGGGCAAATTTTAAGGGACTAAATTGTAAGATTCTCAAAATTTTATAGTAATTTTTGAAATTCCTGAAAGTTTCAGGACTCAAGCTTGTAATTACCCTACCCTATCAGTGAAAAATAATAAATGATGAAAATAAGCAATTTGGTGCGCCATTTACAACAAAGGAACCCATGCCTCTACCATCTAGGTCAGGCTATTATTCAACATCTTTTTCGTGGGGAAAGAAACAAAACCAGTACCCAAAACCAATGAAGCCTCACCCTCTCCCGTCTCTGGTTAGCCGTGGTGTCACCACCTCCATCAGTGAGATCACCGCCATCCCGTGACCCAAACCCAACCTTCCTCTTGTCGTGAAGCGTCATCGTTAGTCATCGAAGAGGTCCTGAAAGTTCCTTAGAATTCAAGCCCTCTTTCTAATTTTTTCACCGATTCGTCACCAACTAGATGGCTGTGGATCTCACCGTCGTTGTCATTGGAATCAGCTCCTCGTCGCGCCTCGATGTGGTGGTCATCGGTGACCGGCCGGTGATCCCCTGTAAACAGGGGAGGATGTAGTAAGCCCCGAGCCAAATACACAAAAAAGTGAAATTTAGTATAATATATTAAAGAAAAATGGAAAATATAAAAAAAATTTACACCTATTATTTTTAAGAAAAGAAAATTAAAATTTTAGATCCATTTATAAATTTCTAGATCTGTCAAGAAAATATGAAATGGAAAAAAGGGGAAATCATCAAGTTAGTCCTTCAGGATTGGTAAGATCTTAACCTTGTTTTCTAGTTTCCATGTAATTATGTTTATGTCTTAATAGTAGTTATGTTTATGTCTTAATAGTTCCAATAAGATTAATTTAGTCTCTAACCTTGGTAGCTAAATACTTTTTTTGTGGCAAGGGAAGTTATTTGGATTCAATTTCGTAATAGAGATGGTTCGAGTTCATGAGAAGATTGAAGGCTTGAAATCAAAGTTAATAAGCTTGAATTCGAGAATAAGGAGTTTCTAGCAGCATAGTTGACTATTTTTGAAAAAGGCATATTTTTTGTTTTTCGATGTCTTGGGTCCGTTTTTGAGGTTATTTTCGTCAAATTCGAACACAGTAAGTTGTTTTCATCTTTTTACCTTCTGATTTGATATGTTTCACAATTAAGTTATGTTTCTAATGTAATTCATTTTGATCAAATGGAAATTTAAATGGCTATCCGATGTGGCTTGAAAATCGAGGTAATACATTACTACCTTTTGCATGTTTTATGGACCATGTTGGTATTAATTAATGCATGGATGAAAACCTTTGGTCATGTGTGTAGTTAATATTTCTAACCTCGAACCGAATGTGGTAAAAAGTAAGTAAACTAAATAAGACTCAGATTACTCATATAAGAAACTAGAAGGCTGATAAGAAATAATTTCAAGCTCAGTGATTAACTAGTAAAGTGATTAACCTCATAATCCTTAAAATTATGATTATTCTTCGTTAAAAGTTTTATGGCCAAAAAATAAGAAATTATGAAATTGCCCTTGAGAGGTAAAAATAACACGGACTGACCCTAATAGTAAACTTTTCCTGAATATTCATATTTAACTTGATAAAATTTCTAATTCATATGTTAAATTCATGATTGTTCAGAAAATTCCTGATAATCAGTTCGTAACTTCAAAGAAGGCATTAGACCTAAAATCTCTGATTTTTGAGCAAACACCATAAGACTAATTCATAAGAAGTACTCTTTATGTCAGAACTGTTCGAAATGATTGAAAAATGAAAATATTGGATTGGATGAAATAACCAAAATACACCTGGATTCCAAAATGACCAAAATACTCATGAACTTCAACCTGATCAAAATACCCCGAGCTCTGATATGACCGAAGTACCCTTGAGCTCCATAATGGCTAAGATACACTTAAGGTTCTAAATTATTTAAATATCTCCACGACTTGGAATAAGGGAATATCTTTGGATAAATTCTGGAAATACTGATAAAATTAAGGGTTGTATCGCTCCTGAAGGTTGAAGCACGACCTAAGCATATCAACCATGCTTGCTACTATTAAGATTCGAGAGTTAGAATAATTACCGCATGAATATATTTATGTCTCATCAGCATCTGTTTAATGAAGATTTGTGAAGGTGGATTTGTTCGGCCACATAATGCAATCAATATGAAGAAATCAATATCCGTGAAGTGTTCCTACCAGAGTCTTGCTAAGTTCTACAATGATGAGAAATGTTTAACTCGATTGGACTCGGAAGTCGATAATTTGTTACAAATATGGAATATTGTAAATTATCGTTTTACTTATATTGAGTGATAAAGAAACTATATAAAATTTATTAGCCTTGTATTCGGTCATCAATTAATAATTTTCAATTATTTTATTTAAATTATTATATAAGATACGTGACACCATAATCAGAAATTTCATAATAATAGAGATAAAAGATTTTAAAAATTGTCTGCTAACAAGTGATTTGTTGGATAAAAGTGTAAAATATAAATTATAAGAGTAAAATACATCACATGTAATTCAATTATCAACTCAATTATAAAGGGTCATATTTTTCTTGAAAATTACAATTTAATCATTTATTTAAAATATTATTACAAATAGAATATAGTTATTAAATATTTAAAATAATAGTGATGTGGCTTGATATAATAATTATTTTAGTCCCCAAATATATATATATATT